CTAAATAGTCCCGTTTTAGTAAATAGGCAGAATCTGACCAAGTGTTGGCACCAAGGAGCCCTAATTGGAGTCAGTGGTTATCGGGTGAAATTCTCTGTTGGTTGGAGTCAAGCCTGGCACAAAAAAAGAAGATTGTGGTTGTTGGAAGTCAGTCATCTCAGTTCCAGGACATCTCTGCAGGAGTTCCTTAGCGGGGTGTCCTAGGCACAACCATCTTCAGCTGCATCATCAATGGCCTACCCTCTGCCATAAAGTCAAAGTGGCAATATTCACTCCACAATGTTTAGCAGCATTGACACGCCTGTGACAGTCCATGTCCTTATGCAGCAAGACCTGGACAATAATCCACCTTTGGGCGAATGTCTGACAAGTAACATTTGTATCTCTCAAGTTCCAGGGAATGACCACCTCCAACAAGTGAGAATCTAACCATTGCTAACCTTGACATTTGACAGCATCATCATTATCACTGAATTCCCCCACCATCAACAACCTGGGGTTTACCATTGACCACCCAGAAACTCAACTAGAATAGCCATATAAATACAGTGGATATAAGAACCAGTCAGAGGCTAAGGGTTACGCAGCAAATAACTTGCATCCTGTCTCCTCAATGTCTGTCCACTACAAGACACAAATCAGGAGTTTGACAGAATACTCTACTCTCCACTTGCCTGAATGTGTGCAACTCCAACAACATTCAAACCATTTCCAGGACAAAGCAGCCCACTTGATTGGCACCACATTGACGACATTTGAAGTCCACTCCCTTTAGCACCCACACTCAGTACATGCTGCTTCTACTATCGTGACAAGATGGACTGCAGAAATTCACCAAGGCTATTTCAATTACACCTTCCATTTTAGAAAGCTGACCTCTACCACCAAAAAAGAACAAGGGGAGCAGACACATGGGAACACCAACTGCAAATTCCCCTCCAAGCTAAGTGCCAACCTGCCTGAGAACTATTTTGCTTTTCCTTCACTTTTAATCGGTCAAAATTCTAGAAATCCCTTCCTAACTGCACTGGTAGTGTCCCTAGACCCCATGAACAGCACTGCCACCTCCAAGAAAATTACAGATGGACAACAAATGTTGGCCTAGGCAGTGACGCCACTTCGAATGATTAAAAATACAAAATCTAAATGGGGATGTTGAGGCAAACCGTAAGCAGCATTTTGAAAAGTATGAATTTTACCAAGTTGAAGCTATCATGCAAGTGTGCTAGAAGACAGCATGTGCTAGGAAGAGAGATAAAAGATCCATGTTTAACAGCTCATGCAGTTATAATTCTTAAGTGTCCCTGGCTGAATGCATAACTCCTTTCTGTCCCAAGAACTTCACATACTGCAACTCCCTGTATCTGTGTGCTTGAAATAAGGATTGCTGACCCTCCAATCCTGGTCTGGTGTCTCCAGCAATTGAACACTAGATACACTTGTCAGGAAAATAAAAAGTCCATTTGGAGTGTACATTTTATTAGTTTCTTTTGAACTCTTCTGCTTATTTAGTTAAAAGAATTAATTGGAATTTTAAAAAGTCATTTGACTGACACAGTCAAGAATTGTTCATAGTCTTCCTACCTTCCAAGACAGAGAAGACGGCAGGCAGGAAGTTACGTGATGGAAGTTCTGTCTGACTGCCATCTAAGGCACCAAACCTTCCCAGTGAAGCAGTAATTTACTTGTACTGCTTTCAATCCAGTCTGCATTGTGAGCTGTGAATACCAATCTCCTCTACATAATGGAGACTAGACACACCTTGGGTAACAGGTTTGCAGAACAGCACAGTGCACAGTACATAGTCCTGAGCTTTTGGTTGCTTAACATTTTAATTCTCCACCTTTTGGTCCCATGTTCATATTTCTGTTGTTAACCACCTGCAATGTTCCAGTGAAGCTCAGTACTATATCAAATGTCAGCACTTACTGCTTGGATTAAACAATTTCAGATCACAAGCATTGTGTCTTCCATTGTTTTGTTTTCTGCCATGTGCCAATTTGAATTGTTCTCAAATTTTCTAACAACTGTGCGTTATTCTATCATTCACGCTTGCTCTGGCTAAATGCTTTGCCTTTTTGCAACAACTACCAATGTTTTACCTTTGTGCTGACAAAGAAATATGCCTTTGGCATTCCACCCTCTCTACTGCATCCCAAAATTTCCTTTTTGGTTTTCCCTCCAACTCTCATTTTTCAACAGCCAATAACCCATGGTATTCCTGCCTTCAGTTCCAGAGAAGAAGCTTTTAACCGATTCAATGTTCATTCTGGCCTGCATTTCCATAACAATGAAAATCTTTTGCATAGAGACCATTGATTGGAATGGAGGGTGAGGAGTCATGGGGAGGGGGCACTGGGCAAAGGTTGGTATGGAGGCCAGGGATGGGGGCAGAGGACTGGAATTATTTTATTTTTTACTTAAATGTTTAACAAAGTGTGGATACACAGTGGCAGGCTTTCCAACAAGCCCACTGTCAATTCTGGTTGGGTCAGGACTGTTTCTGCCTCCCACGCCAGCCAGAAACACACTCCTACAAAGTTCTGGGATGCTTTGTCTCTAATCAGGTTCACAGAGCTGGGAAGTATCCAAAAAAAAAGTCCTGAATTTTCAGGTTTGCAGATGGAGAGAGTAAAGTATATAGTGCCCTGTGCTTCTATTAATAGAGGCACAGAGTACAAGAGCAAGGAGGTGGTGTTGAATGTTGAATTTGTACAAGACACTTGTTAGGCCTCAGCTGGAGTGTTGTGTTCAGTTGTGGGCACCTCATGTGAATGCATTGCAGAGAGGGTGTTCCCAAGAATGAGGATCTTCGGTTATGAGGATAGATTGAATAAATGGAACCGTTTTTCTTGAGACTAACTGAATGATGAGGCTGAGAGGAGAATTGTTAAAGGTTTTCAAAATCATAAGTGGGTAGCAGAGTAGATGGGGAGAAGCGGTTCCCAGTCATATGAAGATCAAGAAGGCGCAGATTTGCAAAGAAATGTTTCTCACACAGTATTAATACATGGAATGCACTGCATATGGGAAAAGGCAGGAAATTGGCAGGAGGTAATAACATGAGACTAGATAATAGAGCCTGTGTAGGCACAATGGACTGAATGCAGCACAGAAGGAGGCATCAATTCTGTGATTTGCTGAGTTTCTCCTGTACTTTGCACTTTTACTTCAGATTCCCTGCATCTGCAGTATCTTGCTTTTTATGTCCGACCACAGTTGTCAATTTTTGATAATCACAGCAGAATGAGGATCTGAGATCTCAATTATGAAGGGCTGTGCCTTTTTTGTACTGTACATCTTGTTCCCCAATCTGACCTCTGAGTTTTGTGTCTCTATAAAGAAGTCTCCAACCTTTTGCGGTGTTCCTGTTTGTCCCTGACTATGGGGGAGGTGGGGGAGGGGGGTTGGGGAGGGGAAAGATGGATTTGTTGGTACTGTGTCATTAATTACATAGATGACACAGACAGAGAGGGTTCAAATATTTTGCACACTTCCCAAGTGTGATTTTTTTTTGTTTTAAATTCATACAATCAATATGGGTGTCAATGATAAGTCTGCATTTATTGTCCATCTCTTATTGCCCTTGTCGAAGTGGTGCTGTGCCTACCACTAAAATCAATTTTCAATTTCCCATAGTCCTGTAGAACCTCTAATACCGCTATGAGTCCCTCTTGCTAAAAACCTTACAGCTCTAGTTTAAACTTTTCAGAAGATCACATGTTGGGTAATTCTATTTTTTTCCAAAGACATGGGATCTGGACTACAAAATGGCCTTTGGTTTTCCAATACCTCCATCTTAGCTTTCAAACTTCAACAGGATATTGCACATCCAAAAATTCTGTATTTTGAAAGATGTGTTTATTGAAGGAACTTGCAGAAAATTAACAATACTTTCTGCCAATTCTTACTCAATGGAAAAGATAAGTTGGAAATACTTTTTTTGAAAAACAATGAAATGAACCACAGCTCTCAGAACACACATTACTTCCAAAATATTTTAAATTACAAAGTTTGTTTAAAAAGTCCCTAGATAATTCATTAGCGCTATACTGGGACCAAATACCACTCATGTACAGAAATTGTGCAATTTACGTTTTAAGTAATTTGCTAACAATTAATCCATTGTAATTCTGGAGGGTGCCAAAGGTGGATGTTGCAACAAGCAGGAATGTATCGAAGATGACTGATAAGTCACATTATTCTACATAAGGCCTTTCCTGATCAAAATAGATTAAGGTTAAACATAAGGATGATAATGGAGGAACTTTGAGCATGTATCAGATTGGAAAACGAACGCCTTTTAAAGAAGTTGTTCTTGAGTTAAATTATTAAAAATTGCGGAAATCCCGTGACACAAAATGAATTGATCCCTCTCTCTATCTCTCTCTCTCTCTCTTCCTCCTTCTCCTCCTCCTCCTCTCTCTCTCTCGTTGAGAGTAATGCTATCTGAATGTTAGATGTTTCTTGTACAGCAAGGCTAGAATTGATTTAGGGATCCCATGCAACTGAATCTTCACTTAGGGTCAATGAAGCAGCAATGATTTTATTCAAGTGAGAGTTTCAGTTTGGTTACCAGGCTGAGTGCTGCCTAACAAGACAAAAACAGCAGCACTAACTAAACCTGGGAACTGTCCATGATCAAAACCCTTAACAAACTGCAACATCAGTAGTGGCATAATTCTAATTTTGAGCCCCAACAGGAACTAATCCATTCTTGCGAAAACTCGAGATTTATTTTTTATTTACACTCAGAGGTCGCAAACAACATAATTTGTCAACAGATTGAAGATGGAGCGAGAAAGTTGGGGAAAAAAAACTGGCATCAAAGTAGGAGACAGTCATAACTGTGCCCGAAGCTAAGAAGGAAAGGAGAACTGGCATGGGGAGGTGGGGTGGGGAGTAACAGCAAGTGAAACACGAGGAGAGCTTAGCAGAGGAATCATTAGAGGAAGATGTGTTCAAAATTGGCACCATATGGTGTAGTTTATTTTACTTACAATGATAGTTGGAGTAGCTGCCAGCACACAGTACAGGACCAGTGGAGAGATGAAGCTGTCTTCTTCTGGTCCTGGGTATGGCTTCATTAAGTCACCGTCTTGGCAGAAGAACCCCTGGATATGCACCTTGAAGGTGTCTGTGCACTCAAAGTAGTAGGCGAGCAGCACGGTCCCAGCCATAATGACAAGCTGAAAGTATAGCATAGTTAACATAGAGATGAGCGGTCATTAAGTGCCTCAGATTATGTGATCCCAGAATGCATGATCCCTCCATCAACTCACTTATTCTTCTACTTACCAACGTGCTCTCCCCCTTGATCTTCCTTTTTAAGCTATTCTTTTGGCAGATGACATTAATAAATGCTTCATTTGGAACTAGGGGCTGGAGCCTGTTACACGAAAGAACTGATGCTTTCAGTCGCAACTTTACCAAAGGACACAGCAGTGTCACTAATCATTGTGATCAATGTTGGTGGCAACTGCAGAATGTCTTGAAGTTAAACATCAAAATAAACTCTATTTTTATCACCCCATCTGTTTCTGCAGATATTAAGTCTGATGAACTGCTAGAAGACTTGCAATTGCAGTGCTCAATATTTGCCGGGCTAATTAAATTGCGCTTTTCTAAAGACCAGCTGTAGCACACTTCCAAAACACAAGTGCCAAAATCTCAGTCACAGGTCAGAGATTTCTAGTTTTTCCATACAGCAGCAATCATCTTCAAAAGACAGATTTGCTGTGTAAAATTTTACTAGACGTTTATCAATATTTACTACAGTCACTTCGTCATACAGTGCTAGAATATTGCTGGGGGGTGGGGAGAGGGGGGAGAGGGGGGAGAGAAAAAAGGCATGGTCATGTGATATTTGTGGATTTGAAGGATGCTACTACTAATCCTTGTTTCTTTGACTAGGTCTAAGAGCCTATTTGGTTTATCGTGGCAGAGCAGCTCTTGTCTTAACAAGATGTAGTTATTATATGATATCAATTAGGTACAAGCTATATGAGCGAGTTCAACATGGCTTTTAAGAATATTGGGGAAATGTTTGAGCTATTCATCATTTCCCTTCCCAAGGCTCTGTCTTAAGCTTCACCCAATCCGATGATGTTAATCTTCAGCATTAACCTTTCAGTACAAGAACTTGATAGAACTGTTACCACACTCATCCAGACAGTTACTGCAATGTTTGAATTCTTCAAAACTGCAAACATTGCACATCAAATACCATTCAATTTCTGTCTAGTCTCGGTTAGTTTTGGTGCCTCAAACGGAATAGGTTTGAGATGCACCCTGACTGTAGAATAATTGACGTCTGTTTCAAGGTGTAAAGCTCCTGGCTCTTATAAAATAACATCCTACTTATCAAGCATAAAACAATGAGATATTGTGTTCGCTGTCTATATCGTGCGATTTTGTCAGGGTGTTCAGTCACTCTGATCAACAGCATATTGTCAGTTGTATCCAAATTCTTTACCCAAATTCCATGAATCAATTTTAGAAATGTAGGCTAGGCCAGCATTTATTACTTATTCCTCTTTGCCCTGCAGAAGGTGCTGATGAGCTGCCTTCCAAAACTGCTACAGTCCATGTCCTGTAGATACATCTACAGGCATGTTTTCAAGGGAATTCCTGGACTTTGCCATTGGGTCAATGAAGTAGCATAATTCAGAGTTAGGATGGTGTGAGGTTTGAAATTGATGGTGTTCCCACATGTCTACTGCCCTTGCCCTTCTATGTAGTACAAGTCATGGGTTTAATATATTCTGTATGAGGAGGATCAGAGTGTTGTTTGCATGCAACTTGTAGATGGTACATACTACACTTGCAACATTCACTTCCTCCATCATTGCACAGTAGTGGAAGTGGGATGTCATTCAAGTGGGCTCCTTTGTCCTGGATAGTGTTAAGTATTTTGTTGTTGGAGCTCTAATCATCTTGAGTCCACCTCTCCACATTCCTGTTGCATTTGTTGCAACCAATCTATTGATGCCACACCATCCGTGGGTGGAAACAAGGAGTTATACTTGAACTTCCAGAGACAGCAGATGTATCTGTTCTAGTTCCTTCAGGTCCTAGTAAATAGGCCTGACCTTCTATCAGTGGACTTGATGTTATCATGCAGTATATCATCTTGTTATTCAAGTTAAGTGCCTCTTTGCTCTACAATGATGTATCCTCTACCACTAAGCACTAGATAGGCTGAAGACAAAGCAGAGACACCAAGGAAGATTGATGGCAGGCAATAACCTCTCTCAGCCCTTACCTAATGCCACATATTGTAGGATTGCCAAATACCACAAGTATCAGAATGGTCATCTTAGAAACTACCATACTTCATATGCATAGACTAACCTAGATAACTGGTGAAAGCTAACTAATAATTTGTAATATGGGTAGGAAGTATAGCCCCCACAGCCTTTTGATGCTCTGAGGTTGGCAGCTTTTTGATGTATTCTAAGTTTTGGAGTCCCAAGACAAGTTAGATATGGAGGAGCAGGGGGGTTCAGTAATTGTGGTAGAGAAAGACTATTGCAAATCTTGATGGAAAGGCTGAGAAAGGACAGGAATTCCTAAAATGGGAGGAATTGAGGGCAGAACATGGGGAGGAGATACCAGGCATGGAAAGAGGCCTTTAAATGAGGCACTCCTCCTCTCTCCAAATCCTGAAACTGTACCTTTTTCACATTGTGTGGGATGTCCTGCTGGGCATCTCCCTGTCCCCGAAGTCTTCCAACATTCTTCAAAATTGAGCTGAGGCAGGGAGTAATCCTTCAGTGGCCAATAATTAGCTGCCTAAAGGTCCCATTGGGATCAGGGCAGGCCATTCACACGGCCATATAAAAAGTTCTGGCATGGGCAGGAAGACAATCGGAAGACCATGCAATAAATTTCATAGGCTATTCCGCCTGCTTGCAAACATGTAGGGGTTCATGAAATTGTTCCCAAGGTCTTTAGTGAAAAATGGCTCCAAAAGATAAGACCATGGCCTGCAACAACATGCCGTTACACTGCAAATGCAATGGTTTGTCCTTCGCACTGTCAACTTACTTGACATTCCTTAACCTCTTCAGAAAAAATGAATCAACAACCTGAAAGAAAAGCCCTAAATAGGTGCACAAACATCAAAGGCAAAATAAATTTAGATTTTGTTTTCAATTCTGTTTTCCAGCATTGTGGAGTCTTGAATAACTTTGGGCATAAAATTACCTAATATCTAAGCGGCCCTAACTTAGTGTTATCGAAAACTACTCTCTATCTATCAAGTGGAGCTTCAATCTTCAAATTTTACATAGGCTTCTCTTCCCAGAAGTATCAGCTAATCTATTATTCTGAGAAGTGAATATTAATTAACTTTATTAAAAAATGCCTTATAGCATGTTTGAGCCAATTCTTATCAAATCCAGCATAATTCCAATCAAATTCAGAATTAATTATCCTTCAGTTGAATGCTGACAATCCCCCTTGCTTTTCCCCATCACTCCCTGTACCAATGATCAAATATTGGAAGTCAATTTTTTGTTAGCTGGACAGTTGGCTTTCAATGCAGTAATGCCAACAGTGTGGGTTCAATTCCCAGCCCAGCTGAGGTTACCATGGAGAACACTCCTTTCAACCTCTCACCCTTGCCTGAGGCGTAGTGACCCTCAGGTTAAGTCACTACCATTCATCTCTCTTTGAGAGTAGCACCATTTGGACTGTGGTGACCTTGCTAATAGGCTCTGCAGACCACCTTCAAACAAATATTTGTATTTATTCCTGAAATTAATATTGAGCAATAAATTTATGCTTGCAATCAATGCTGTTTGTAATTGAGTTCTGTGTCATATGGCTTTTGTCAGACTGATTGGCTGCTCCATTGTTCGCCAACTTAATCACCCTCTGCCTGGCTCCAAAAGACACTGCACTTTTCCCTTCAAAGACACTTTCTAATATCTCTTTCTCTCATTCTCTCTTTTCCCTGTTTGAATGCAGTGGAAGTTCCTTTAATAGCATTGTGGGTCAACCCATAGCAGGTGGATTGCAGCATTTCCAAAATGGCAACTCACTACCACCTTCACAAGGGCAATTGGGGTTGGGCAATTAATGCTGGCCAGCCAGTGACCCCACATCCCACATTGAATTAATTTTAAAAAATCCAGATCACCAGTCCATAAAGGAATTATCTTCTCCTCTTACTTTGTACTGAGTGCCTGGCCATCACATTTTCTTAAAATAAACCTTAATACAAGCTGGCACTATCTGTCAAACTGTGTTGGACCTCATCCTCATCTTTTCCAGTCTCTGTGTAAAATGTTCCTATTCAATACACTGTAAAGCAAACAGGGTGGTGCCCAGTCAAGATCATGTTATCTATTTCATATTTTGGACCTATGCTGAGAAGTTGCCATGTGTGTGACATGTTTATTCACAATGCTTTAAAATGTCCACTCCCATGCTTCAGTTCCCTTGACAGCTTTGTTTAGTTTCCCTGAGTCCATATCCAGGCTTAACAATTCAAACATAATCTGCATCAGTAGTAACTAGGCTCTCATCATTAAACACAGAATAACTGAAAACAGCACATTCTCTCAAATCCTTATTTCACAGGGCATCGATGTTGTTAGAAAATCCATCCTAATCACCCTTAAGGTGACAATGAGTTGCCTTCTTGAATGCAGCTGAGTTGAGAGGGTTCCTGTGACACAATGGTAGTGATCCTACCTCCCAGATGACGAAGCCTGGGTTCAAGTCCCACCTGATCCAGATGTGTGTACTAGCATCTCTAAACAAGTTCAAAAATATCTACAACTGAGTAGATTGTTGGGCCACTTTTAGCAGCCATTTCAAAATTAATCACATCATGGTTATGAGTTTGAAACCGATGTAACCCGCCTCTGCATCAGCATGACATGCCAAGACAAAAGGAATTAAGAGATGTGTAAATACAAGAGACAAATGGCAAGCAATTATGTGAAAGACAAAGTGCCAGACTTGAAAGGGGAATCAACAGATAAAGAGAAATGACTAGTGAAACATTCTAACAGCCATTCAGAGCAGCAAAAATGCATCAGAGAAATGACAGTGAGAAAATCAATGAAGAAAAGTTGATACACATAGTGGTGGCGTGGCAATATTGTTAGTTAGCAACTAACTAAAATTCCATCAATATAATCTGGGATTGAAAGCTGGTCTCCGAAATGAGGACTGA